CGAGGCCGAACCATTGGCCTCCATCACTGAATTCCAGTGCCAGAAGTTCGTATGGCAGAACATCATTTGCCGATTCGGGATCCCGGAGCAGATCATCACAGACAACGGTCGGCAGTTCGTCGGCAGAGGCTTTGAGGCATACTTGGCGAAGTGGGGCATCAGGCACTCTAAGGCCTCGGTGGCCTACCCGCAAGCCAACGGCCAAGTGGAGAACATGAACCGGACCATCATGGACAGGATCAAGAAGAAGTTGGAAGACTACACCTCCACCTGGCCGGAGCAGCTGAATTATGTTTTATGGACGTACAGGACGACGCCAAGAACGGCGACTGGGGAAACCCTTTTTGCCTTGGCTTACGGATTCCAAGCTAAGGTACCGACGGAGGTACTGGTACCTACCCATCGCACCAAGCACTTCCAGCCGGAGGACAACGAGATCAACCTACGAGCAGAGCTCCATTTCGTCGAGGAACGGAGGGACCTAGCGGCTCGTCGCATGGAAGAGTATCACAGGGCCACCCAGAGATACTTCAACAAGGCCGTGAAATTCCGCGAAATAGAGGCCGGGGACCTCGTACTCAGGAAAAGAGAGAAGAGCAAGCCGCTCGAAGGCGGCAAAATGGCAAAGAACTGGGAAGGACCTTACCGGGTCATCAGAAGATATAACCAGGGGACGTTCCTCCTCCACACCCTGGAGGGGAACCATGCCGGGATGTGGAACGTAGAACACTTGAAGAAGTTCTATCAATAGTTAGGGGCTGTTGTCCTTGTATTATTCCCACTACCATGTAAAACGGCCGGACATCGTCAATAATAAGGCCCCTGTTTTTCATCACTTCTATTCTTGCCAACGACCGTTAAAGAGGGGAATCTCGATGCAGATAAACCTGTTCCTCCTTGCGATGTCTGCGGATACCGAACGTCTCCTCGAAGTAGGGACGCCGGTAGGACCAAGGACCAAGGACGAACGAAGCACCAGGGAATCTCGATGCAGATAAACCTGTTCCTCCTTGCGATGTCTGCGGATACCGAACGTCTCCTCGAAGTAGGGACGCCGGTAGGACCAAGGACGAACGAAGCACCAAGGAATCTCGATGCAGATAAACCTGTTCCTCATTGAGATGTCGGCGGATACCGGACGTCTCCTCGAAGTAGGAACGCCGGTAGGACCAGGGACCAATGACGAACGAAGAGTATGGATTGCCTCCCCCAAAAAAAAAAAAGAAAAAAAAAATGGGGAGAAGAGGAGAGGAGCTCCTATGTAGAAGGGAATCTTGCCCGGGTATGCCAGATCTTCTCCAACCGCCGAAGACGAACGCCTCTCGGTGTAGAGGTTAGTAGAGACGCGGAGGGGGCTAGACGAACCAAGGGAGCCTGCCAAGATAAACCTGTTTATCCCACAAACGACCATGGATCGATGGACGTGGGGTAACAAAGTCGGGGACCCGTGAGGGTAGACCTGTTCGTCCCTGCGAGTCCTTGGGTACCGAACGTCCTCTTCGAAGCAAGAGACGTCGGTAAGGCTAAAAGGACCACGGACGAACGAAAAAAGGGGGGAATCTCGATGTAGATAAACCTGTTCATCCTTGCGATGTCGGCGGACACCGAACGTCTCCTCGAAGTAGGGACGCCGGTGGGACCAGGGACCAAGGACGAACGAAGACTAAAAGACTCCAAAAAAAAAAAAATGCCAGAAGAGCAAGGAGCAAAGAATGGTTTTTTATTCTTCGGCACTATTGGCCGGGAAATTACAAGATAGTGAAAATAATGGGAAAAATTGTACAAGTACAAGGTCATGAACAGAGAATCACTTTCGATCGACGTCCGGAGCTGGAGGGCCCCCGCATGCTCCTTCAGCAGTTTTGGCTTCCGCCTGCTTCTTCAGCAGCTCGAGGGCCCCCGCATGAGCATCCGCCATCAGAACATCAAAGCCAGCCGCCTCCGGATCGAAAGGAGCCCCGAAATGACGCTCGAACGTGGGGAGATTCTCCGCTACGAGCCCAACCATGCCCTTACGATAGGTATCATCGGCAAGATCATCAAGGAAACGCCGTCCGGTGGGGGTGGCCTGGAGCAATTTGACCCCATCCAGGTAGGCATCCGGGCAGGTGGCTAGAAATTCTCCGACGAGCCTCGGGAGAAACTTCATGGCCATGGTGTGGATGGCACCAGTGTAAGCTTTGGATTTCTGGAAGGCAATGGAACCAGACTCCTTGATTTTGGCAACATCGGCCTCATAAATAGGGACATGGTTGTCCATGCCCGTCTGGCGAAGCTCCACCTTGGCCTGCTCTACGGCCCACATCCGGCTGCGGAGATCCACGAGCTCGGCCTCCTGCTTCTTGAGAAGCTCCTTCTGAGAGGCATTCTCCTGAACGAGCTTATCATAGGCCTCGGCTTTCTCTTGAAGAGTGCCAGCCCTGCCTTTTGCATTCCTCAGAAGGGCATCACATTCAGCCCGTACTCTAGCCATCTCCCTGCCCTGGCGCTCGAAGGCCATCCGAGCCCTATGGAAGTAGAGCCCGGCCTTATCCAGCGTGCTCTGGCCGCACTCCAAGAGATCTTCAGGGGCCTCCTGAGCAGCGAAGTCCTGCGGAACCTTGAGATTCAGCCCACACCAGATGGAGGACGCTGTCTGGCCGAAGAGCATCATTGACTCTTTGCGGGGACCAACCCCGGAGAACTCAATCAGTCCAAGAGAAGACCCACTGGCTTCGGGAGGCGAGCTTGGACGAGCGTCGTCAGAACCCTTGGCAGCTTGGGCATCATCGTCCCGGAGACGGCGGACGTCGGAATTCTGCGGGGGAGAAGCACGGAGATGGGGCCGGGAAGTGGGCTTTCGCTTAAGGGGACTTCCGGGCTCCCCATCAGAATCATCGGCCAAGATGATGGCTTTGGAGGAAGTGCCCTCCACACGCGGCCTTTTGGAGGCGCCGGCCCCCGAGCTTACATCGGCCCGTGCCCTGGTCACCCGAGTTTCGACCTTAGGGACGAGCGGAGTCCCGGATTTATCACGCCCCTTGTGCTCACGGCCGGTGGCGGTCGAAGTAGCGTTGACTCGGCCCATGGCGGACGTGGATGGAAAAACTCCTGCACAAAGGGAACCAAGACGTTCAGAACCATAACAGCGAAGAGATGTTAAAACAATGCAAGTACAAACGGACGCACCTAATCCAGCCCGAGCTTTAAAGGGCTCGACCACCAGCAACCGGAGGTTCTGGATGCCAAGTCCGGCTATGCGCTTGGCATATCCCAGCTCCTCGTCCGTCATGGGCGGCGGGATCGTCTTCACGGGGTAAGCGTTCCACCGATCAGAGAATGGCATCGGTGAGCCTACTCCGGCCAGGAAGAAGCGTTCTTCCCAACCGTCTGGATTCCCGGCAATGTTCGAGAATAGAACCATGGACGAACGGGCAATCAGGGTCAAATACCCTGTGCGTCCGAAGGTGGACAGACGGAAGAAGTAGTGCAGCAGGTCTACGGTTGGGGTCACACCGACGCTGTGGCATCTGATGATGAAGCCAGCGATTATCCGATAGGCGGCAGGGACGAGCTGCGCAGGCACAATCTCAAGGGCCCTGAAAAGTTCCAAGTGGAAGCTGTGCAGGGGGAAGTTCAGCCCGGCTATCACCGAATCTAGGTGAACCACCACATAGCCGGGCAAATGGCGCATGGGGTTCCGAAGACGCCGATCGTCGTAGGTCCTTGGGGGATAAAACCATTGGCTGATCAGTCGCTTGTCAGCGTTCGTCAGGCGTTGAATTTGACGCCGAACGCACGAGAAGCTAAGGCTATAACGGGGAGGCCGGGGTGGCATTCCCCGCTCATAATATTCCAGGTCATCACCGGAAGAACATCCATCGTCAAAGCGACTTTCGGAAGACATGACAACGAACGGTACCTTTGGGGTTCGAGATTTCCGATACGGCTGAGAGAAGTCTAGAGAGAGAAGACAATTGTGCAGCGTAAGGAGAAATGTGAGTGGATCACATGGACTCTGGGTACTTATAAGCGACACCGCGGAATCGCGCCAACCGAAGCAGGACACGTGGCGCCTGGATACCGGTACCTACCACGACATTTAGGGCACCTCGATTTCGTCGCCACATAACCACCACAAGGACACCCGGGTCCGTGCCACGGACGTCCCTTGAAGAGGGCTTACCGGCTCGGCGGGATTTGGAGACATGGTCTCTCCGTACTTCCGTAATTCTCCGGCTGTCCCTAACACCGGCGGCTGATGAAGACACACGCAATAACCGGCTACGTTCGTCTTGCGGCACCCCGGTTTTTCATGTCACGCAACTGTCGACGAACGTCGTCACCGGGCGCTGGTTCAGGGAATACGTCCATATGTCCATACTTGAGAAGAGCGTGCTATCAAGACAGCTATCGACGAGCGTCTTCCCATTGTCAGAATATCGTGTGGGCGGCAAGCCAGCTTCGGTAGGGGGACGCCGTACGACAGATGGGTGTCGAGGCGCCGGAAGGATTTCTTATGCTACGAACGATGGAGGACACGAAATGATGAAATAAAATCATGTCCTTAGGGGACGCACGGAGGATGAACGTCGCCCTTCCACACTCCATGCCAGTTGAGCATGCAGGACAGACGGACATCCTTGCCTCGAAAAGCTTTAGCTTTCATGCCGCGCGACAGTAGATGAACGTCGTTAGCAAGCATTGAGGCAATCCCCGACGTGCGTATGACCACACTTGCAAAGTGTGCTGTTTGGCCAACCCCCGACGAACGTCGTCTCGCCATCAGGATGCTGTGCAGGAGGGGCAGCCGGCATCGGCGCTGGGTGTCGCCATCCGGAGACGGACCTTAACACTGGCGCCGCGCACTAATGTGTACGGGGTTTCGGCAAAGAGACGCCCATGCCCCCACACCAAGTGGGGAACAGAGACGAACGTCCACGCAGGCTATGCAACAGAGAATATCGAAACACAAGGGGAGTTTCCATACAACAAAAGTACAAATGTGAAGTAAAGATCATGAGCGTAGAGATAATTTTGGGCAAAAGAGCATGTATATTCTTCGGCTCTAACGGCCGGACATTACAAAAGCATGAATGGGAAAATACAATTTACATTATACAAAGAAAGGGGACCCAGGCCGGCTGCCTCCCGGAGTCTGCTCTTCCTCCTCGGCCTCGGGCTCAGGGGTCGGGGGTTCCGGAATCTCCCCTCTGGCCTTTGCTTCCGCCCGCCGTTGGTCCCTCCCCAGCTTCCCCAGGGCTTGAAGCAGCAGATCATCATCCGTGTTCGCAGCCAGCTCGAAATCAGCCCCTTGCAACCTCGAGAAGATGGGGAGAGTGGCCTTAACCCCCTCGTTGTAGCCGGCGGCGAAGGTGCTGTCGCCGACCTCGTAGAGGAACTTGTGGGACAAGGGGGAGCTCTCCAAAATCCGGACCCCGTTCGCCAGACGCTGCCGGGGTGGGATCTTCGCCAGCGCCGCAGAGAATACATCACCGAAGGCCCCGGCGCAATAAATATTGGCGGAATCCATGAATTCACCGGTGTTCCTGTAGCCGGAAGTGTCGACCAACCACTCCGGAGTGGCATCCTTGGCGGCAGGGAGCACCGGAACAAGCTTGAAACCGGCTCTCTCGAGACCGGCCAGTTGGCTGCGGGATTCAGCCTGCAGGGCTGCAATCTCCCTCCCCTTGGCTGCAGCCTCCGCCTCAGCTCGACGGGCGGCCTCCCGGGCCGTAGCAACGGCCGCATCAGCCTTGGCCTTGGCTTCCTTCAGATCGGCCTCCCTGGCAGCTTCAGCCTGAAGGACTAGAAGTCCAGACTGGATGACAGGAGAGAAAATAATGATCAGGAGATGAACGTCAAGGAACGAATGTACTCAGATCTAGCAATGAGGAATTACCTGAAGAGCGGCCGCCAGGGCAGCGCTGGTCGCCTCAGAAGACGAACGGCGGGGCAGCTCAAGACCGGCCTGGAGGGCCATCTCCCTCCACAGTTCTTCCGCCGGGCGGCGGAATGGCAACGAGCCGGCGTCTTCAAGCAGGGGCCCGGTGGAGCCTGCCTCGCGGCCCCTCTTCTGTTTCTTCTCGGGGACCTTCTCCGTCCCCTTTTGAGGAGCCGCCTTCGACGGGACGACCGGCGGGGGAAGGGCAGCTTCCAGAGCAGGGGCCCCAGAACCCTGAGCCAGCACAGTGGCGATCAGGTGCTGTTCACCCTCAGCAGTTCGCCGGGCAGCATCAGAAGCCGAGGAGTTGGACTCCGAGGCGGGGGCGTTTTTGGCTTTCGCCAGTGCGGCTTTAGCAGCGGCCGCCTTGGCCTTCCTCGTCTTCAGGCACTCGGCATGATTCATCTGGTCTCTATCTGGTGGTGAACCTGCAAGAAACAACAAAGGATTAGAAGACGAGCGGAGAATACAATAGGACACTCACCTCGAAGGACAGGACCGCCCGGTGCCCCGAGACGAGCGTCGGAGGGTGGAAAAGAGTCCAGGGACACGGGCGGTACCTATGCCTGCCCCGGAGAGTGCCTCGAAGGTCAGGTATTCGGCTATTGGACGGACGCCACCCTCCAACACCTTCTCCACATCCCCAAGTAGATCGTCGGACGGCTCCGGTGACTCAATCTTTGGGGGATAACCATTCCACCGAACTGGGAGGGGAGGCCCATCATATCTAAGGAAGAAGAAGCGGTTCTTCTAGTCGTGGATGGACGAAGGGTAGTTCTTGAAAAGCTTCCTTCCTGGACGTGCGGCCACGCTCAGATAACCATCGGAGTTCTGGGGAGTGATGCGATAGAAGTAGTGGAAAAGCTCCAGGGTGGCAGTGGCTCCCGCTAGTTTGCAGCGCACCAGAAAGGCAGATATGAACCTATAGGAATTTGGCATGAACTGCGCCGGGGCCACCTGGAAGCAGTGGAAGAATTCCACATAGAACGGATGGAGCGGGAACCGCAGCCCGGCTTCAACGGAGTCCAAATGAAGCACGATCATCCCCGGACGTCTCCTCATCACATGTTCAGCGCCTCTCACGCTCCAGACGAACGGCGGGGGGAAGAAGGTACGGATTTTGTTGAGGGCCACACGGGAGAGGACCTGGTCATGGTCAAGGGCGCTCCTGATCGGGCAGATGTGGCGCTCCATATCCGTAGGGATGCCCAGGTCATACACCTCCATATCGGAACCGGATTCGGCCTCCTCTCCAGAATCATAATCAGCAGGGCGCTCATTCAGGGGGACTGCGTCAATCACATCTACTGCCCCGTCAGCACCCCCGTCCCCGGCATCGCTCCCACTACTTTGGGACACATCATCCGGCTCGCCATCAGCCCGGATGGTCCCCACCGTCGTGGCCGAACCAGAGGTCCCGGAAATACTGGCCTTCCCGGGGGAGCGCGCACTCACATCGACCGAAGAGGAGCCCGAGGAGGAACCCGACGAACCGGAATCAGAGCTTGACGAAATCTCCATCGAAGTCATTTCGGCTAAAAATCCGAACAAGAAAAGAAGCAGAGGGGGGAAATTACCTTACGAAGGGGTTAGCCGAATTCAGAAGAAGATTTGAAGAGCTGCGGAAAATCGAGAGCAAGAGAGCAGAAATTGGGAACCCTAATTCAGAGGGAAAACCCGGCATTTATAGGAGAAACACCGATGGGGAAACCAACGAGGGGCTGACACGTGGCAAGGAGCGTATTCCGGCCCACGCGCTGTGCGTGGGGCAAAAAAGTAATGATGACATTTCCTCAGGAAATGCTCCGCCACAACATCAGCCGTCACCTCGTTTCCTGAACCGTCGACAGCTGTCAAGCACCATGACCACGAGCGTATGCTTCCAACGGACGCAGAAAACACAAGTATCAAGACACGGACGTCTACCTCGAGGGGATTCCTACTTCCTTATGTCCTGCGCAAGCCCAGAACATCAGAAGTGGGGGACTTGTGTTGGGTTAAGGGCCCAAGCCGAGGCCCGGCCCACTAACCCATATTTCCAGACGCACGTCCAGCTAGAACACCAGGCCAGCTCATAGGCCCATGTCCCTTGGGGAGGGGCGAACGTCTGGCGTAGGGGGCGCAGGCCCAGCAGGCTCCTCCGACGAACGTCTGTGCAGGGACAAGGAGCAGGGCCACGGGCCACCAGGGATGGCGACGAACGTCTCCGGGGCAAGCCTGTAGTCATCGGAGGGGACCCAGTCCACATGGTGAATATCTACAAGGCCAGGAGACGAACAGCCGGTATCTCCGGAGGGTCACCTGGAGCAATCCAACTCACTTCCCGGGCGGACGAACGTCCCCACTAATCAGGCGGGAAACCTAGATTCTGGCGGGAAGTGCATTAAATGCTGAAGATTTGGTGGTTGGGACACAAGCGGTCCACAGGCTTCCACGTCAGCATAGCTACCTGCCCATTGGCGGGTATAAATAGAAGCATTTATTTCATTGTAAAGGGTTGGCAACTTTCTATTCTTAGCATACTAGCTCCAGCATTCTTACGAGCAGCATTTCTATTGCCTTGTAAGACGAACGGCCGACGTGCCCTTTTAGCGAGTAGATTGTACTTAGGGGAGTTATTACGAAGTTAATAATACCTATTTACATTGCCTGCTATTACTTTTGTTTTCCTGATCCATCTGATAGTTGTTGGGCTAGACATTCTTACACTCACTCCACTCGAAATCTTTGGGCTTACGTGTTGGGCCCAAGGGTTGAAGGAATAAACCTCAACAATAATAATGAGAAATTACATGTAAACTTTAAAATTCAAACACAAAGTATTGTCTTCAAGTACAAAAATAGATACTTCGTATTATATTGGTTGGGCTAGTTGATAAGAACTAAAAATTTAAATTTAAACATACTAAACTATAAATATGTATAAAGAAAAATTAGTAAATTTAAATATACATGTGTACAAGTAAATAAATATGTACATATGTATATAGGGAGAAGGTACAAATATACCCCTGCACTATGAGTGAGAGAACAAATATACCCTTATTCTATTTTTTGGAACAAATATACCCGCGAAGTATATGCTGAAGTGCATATATACCCCTGAACTTTTAAAAAGTGCAAAAATACCCCTCATGTTCTTATAAAGACGCAAATTTACCCTTATTGACTTTAAATAGATAAAATAAATTTCAAAAAATACCAAAAAATAAAATATAAATTCGAAATTTAAAAATAAAGATTTATTATTATGTTAAAATATTAATTTTTTAATTTCAAATTTCAAAATTTTTATTTTTCCGTTGTAACTGAAGCTAAATCATTAATACTAGTATTACTTTTAGTCTTGTTATGAAATTTTGAACACATTGTTATATTTTTTTAAATAACATTCTTTGATTTTGTTTAAACTTAATAAAATTAAATTCACTATTTTGTAATCTTGAACTATTTATCATCATACAAAATATGTAATTTTATAGTGCAAAGAATGTAAAAAAAATATTTTTTTTGTATTGAAACACATAAGTTAACACTTTTTTCGAAAAAATCTTAAATATATAGTAATGTTTTGAAATAACATTTTATAATAACAATATTTAAATGTGATTTACAAACAATAAAAGGGAGAATTGGACACAAGTACATTTTTAAATTTTTATTTTTTAATTTTGAATTTATAATTTATGTTTGGTGTTTTTTTAAGTCAATAAGGGTATATTTGCTCCTTTATAAGAATATGAGGGGTATATTTGCACCTTTAAAAAAGTTCAAGGGTATATATGCACTTTCACAAATACTTCAGGGGTATATTTGTTCTGAAAAATTGAACAGGGGTATATTTGTTCTTACACCCATACTACAGGGGTATATTTGTACATTTTCCCTATGTATATATATACTCGGTATGTGTGTGTGTGTGTGTGTGTGTGTTGTGTGTGTATACTAAATTTAGCGGGCCGGGCTTATTGGCCCGAACGGGCCTAGACCCTAACCCAAGTCCGCCCATATGTTATTGCGGGTCGGGGCCGTTGCGTAAATATATATGCCCCAAGCCCGCCTAGTCATGGACCCGGGCCGGTTCCGGTTCCGGGCCGGGCCGATTCCGGTTCCGGGCCCGGCCGGGCTTTTTTTTTGGGAAGGAAGGCCCGGGACCGGCCCGGGTAGCCACCGGGTCGGGTCCGGGCCTCCGGTTCGGTCATAATTTTTTTTTTTTTTTTTTTGCTTTCCTAACCCCCCCACTCACCCCCCCCACCCCCCAAACCCCTCCTAACCGTCAAGCCCAACCCGGCTAACCCCAAAAAGTGAAAAAAAAAATTAAAAAAAAATCAATTCGGCCCGGGCCCGGGCCCGACCCGGCCGGGCCGGCTCGCCAAATACAAGGCCCGAGCCCGGACCCGCCTCCCCCACCGGGCCTAGGCCCGACCTGGACCTGAACCCGGACCCGAGAACCGGGCCGGTTCCGGGCCCGCATAGTGGCGGGCCGGGCCGGTCCCGGGCCGGGCGGCCCGAACCGGGTCCATGCCTAAGCCCGCCCATTTGTGCGGGCGGAGTGGGCGGGCCAGCCCGTTTTTGTGCAGGTCTAAATCTAGTGAGATACAAAGAGTAGGAGACAAATAAGCCCTAACATTAAACCATTTTACTTTATATAGAACTAGGGAGGTGTTTACTTCGCTGTTAAAACCACCGTTAGGTTAGCAAGACATGTGAAGTAAACACGCATGCTGCTTAAAAAACCACTCACTAACGAAAAGAGATGCTTAAAGTGCCGCTTACTAAGCATATCACCCCCCATGTATTAATTAAGCGGCACTTTAAGTTTTTTCAGTTTTTGAATTTACCCCTTGCTTTTACCCTATTGTTACCCCTCTACCCGCTACCCCCACCTCGCCCAACCCTACTACCTCGACCCCGATCCCACCCTACCCACTACCTACATCCTAACCTTACCCCTACCCTACCCCCTACCACTTGCCAATACCTCGGCCCACCCCAACCCCGGCCCAACCCTACCGTCATCCTACCTGACCCCAACCCCACCCTACCCTATCCTACCCCGACCCACCCTACCCCTACCTTGACCCCACCCTACCCTACCTTACCCCGACTCACCCTACCCCTACCCCAACCTTACCTTACCTCTGACCCCACCCTACCCCTTACCCCACCTTACCCCGACCCCACCCCCTACCTTACCCCGACCCACCCTACTTAACCCCCAACCCCACCCTACCCTGTCATACCCCAACCCTACCCTACCCCTACTCTACCCTACCTTACCCTGACCCCGACCCTACCCATTCCCCCACCCTTATCCCTACCCCACTCCCTACCACTTGCCCCTACCTTGGCCCCACCCCCACCCTTAGCCTTACCACCCTACCGCCATCCTACCCCCACCCACCCCCTATCGTGGTAAAGGTAGGGTAGGGGTCAAGGGTGTGGAATTGGGGGTAGGGTGTAGGGTAGGGGTGGGGGTATAAGGGTATAGGTACATGTACAAGGTGACCCCACATATTATATTACATATTTGTGTTCATGAATGTTTGTGCGTCTATATATGTATATGGTTATTTTGAACATTTTAATGTTAAACGGTGTTTTAAACCCTGTGAAGTAAACACGACCTTACAACATTGCTTATTTTATGCGCCGCTTATTAAAGCGGGTCTTAATAAGCACCGCTTGCTAACCCGTGAAGTAAACGTGTCCTAGGAGTTGCATGTGAGACTTGTTTTATTAGAATCATTAGATAGCCAAATTAAATATTTTATTTGGTTATTTCATAGTTCAAAGTAGATAGCATCTTGCTCATTTCTTTTGTTCATGTGTGGAGGTTACAAACACGTGAGGTTTACTGGTACAGTTAAAGAATTTTTAGCACACGATCTCCATGGCCTGCCATCTTTTTGTGCTTCTCAAAGAGATCTTGAAGTGCTGCCACGAAACAATGATGTACTTCTTCAACCTTTAAATTAGTTCACGAGAAAAGTAAAACATCTCACCAGTTAAAAAGTAAAAGGAAATAATGCATAAAGAACCCGTTTGGTAGGGCATGAAAGGGTTGAATCGGCTGATTCTACTCAAGTGTTGTATGGTAGGGCATGAAAGGGTTGAATCGGCTGATTCTACTCAAGTGTTGTAACTCAAATCATTGAGCTGACCGAATTATATAAAAATTCATTTAAAATAGTACTCATCATTTTCATTTACCCCAGTGCCGCAATCATTTAAAATAGTACTACGTATTATGAATCAAAGAAATATGGGGGCAGTTTGAGTCTGATTTTGGAAATTGATTCTGCTCCTCAGCACATAGAAGTAGAATGAGGTATTGGTATGTTTTGGTAAAGCTTTAGAATCACTTCTTTTTCATTTCATTTTCATTTACCCCAGTGCCGCAAAGGCTCCCACCTACGGTGGGGTAAGGGGGTCGAATGTACGCAGTCTTACCCCGTACTAAAGCACAGAGAGACTGTTTCTGGATGACCCATAGTGAAAATCGCGTCCAAAATTGCATGGACTGACTGTTGCTTCATAACAAAAAAGCGCAGACAGTTTAGTGAGCCATTTTGCTTTATTCATTCATATTCTCAAGCCAAAAAATAATGAATCTTTGGCTCCATTGCAAATGATGGAAACCTTTAGGATCACTTCTAAGTGCTAAAAATAGATCTACAGAAGCTAGCCAGTAAGGTAGGCAGCTTC